CAAATAGTACTTCTCCATTGCACTGGCATAGCAATTCAGGAGGCACCTTGGAAGAGAAGCTGGGTCATGTGTGACTTCTTATTGCTCTATAGTACACTGGCAGTGGAATTCTCGCTGTGCCAGATCACAAACGGTTTTAATTTGTAGCCTGCACCATTGCCCCCAAGCAAAGACTGTTATACAGTCCTTAAAAGCCTTGAAAGCCAACACAGACATGGCATTCATGTTCAGAACAGGGAGTTTTCATCATATTTGAAGATTTGCTCTGGCAAGTAATTTTCCTCCACAATCAGCTTATGTGGAGTTTCCAAAAACCCCTTAGCTGCTTTCACATCAGCACTTACAGACTCACCACTCACTTTTCATATTACATAATGAATAACAATTCTTGAACTGTTTACACCATGCAAAGCTAGCAATAAATTCACCACTGTGGTACAGGCCAGCCTTTTCTTTCAACATCACAAACACTTCCTTCTGGCCATGATCCTCAAGGTGCTGAGAAGGGTCCTCAGGGTCTGGTCTGTGACCCAGGTTATCAGAAGCTTCTCCCCATATCAGATACAGGCACTTCTTGAATTTTTGTTAACCTCGTTGCCTTCAACAAAGCAGACCCTGTAATAAGTTCCAGCACTTTGTTCTGGTGCCTCAAGATGGTAGCTATGGCAGAATGGGATATGCCTGGCTATCGAGGAATAGCCATCATTCACTTTCTACATCATAGTCTTTAATCACATTTAATTTCCTTTCCAGGTCAATCATGCAACATGACCTCTTCCTGGCAATATTAGCAGAAGATTTTGTATACTCAGGCTGTGATAATAAACAACTTGAGATCAAACCATGGAATCCAGAGGCATGTAAACACAGAGACTGCTGTCAGTATAACAGGCACACTGATTAATAGGAAACCTTTTTTATGAGCAGGAGTACACTCTAAAATAATGAAAAAAAAGTTTAGTATAGTAAAAACATAAATCAGTAACATATTTATTATTATCAAGTTTTATGATCTGTACATAATCATATTACTACCTTTATATATTAGATTTGTTTATGCCAGCATCACCAGAAACAAGTGAGCAGTGTGTTTTACTACAACATTATGACAGCCACAATATCACCAGACAATAGGAACTTTTCAGCTCCTTTATAATCTTATCAGACTACCATTGTATATGCAGTCCATCATTAATCAAAAAGTTAGTATGTATTCATATTCATATACACATGTATGTATTTATATAAGGTGATATAAAACACTGTACTAAACAGAAAAAGAACATAAATTGATTTTAAGCACACATAAGGTATTTATAAAAATTTACTATATATTAGTCCTCAGAGGTGCATTAATTAATTTCTAGAAAAAAAAATCATACCAAACATATTTTCATGCATATTATAAATAATTAGATATAAATTTTAAAAGTAAATAGAGTCCTTAATCACATGTTAAGAAAATAATGTGCTTAAAAATAACTCATAGGGAAGAATCAAACTATTATGAAATACTAGAACTGAACAGTGAAAGTACCACATATTAAACCTGGGGTAATACAAGGGTAAAACAACTTCAAGGTAAGGAGGGACAGACAAGAATAGAATGAAGATGTCCATTATTATCACTTTTAGTCAACATTGTTTTGGAGGTCCCAGACAGTATAATAAAGTAAGAAAAAAATATATACATATAAGGCCTAGAATTAGAAAAGAATTATAAAAACTGTTATTATTTGTAAACTATCATTACTCTTATTTTTAAAAAATTCAAGAGGGCTCAGTGGTAAAGTGCTTGCCTAGCATGTGTGAGGCACTGGGCTTGATTCTCAGCACTGCATATAAATAAATAAATAAATAAATAAATAAATAAATAAATAAATAATGTCCATCAACAACTGATAAAAATACTTTTAAAAAATCCAAGAGAATCTACAATTAGAATTAATGCAGGGAATTCAGCAAGTTGCTAGATGTAAGATCAACTTATAAAAATAATATTCTTATATACCAATAAAAAAATTTAGAAAATGTTATTTAAAAAATAAACCAGTTACAATAACAACAAATGCTACAGGGCAACGGGAAAAAAAACACTCAACAAAATATGTATAAGTCCCTGCCAGATAAGAGGACAAAATTTTATTTAAAATTTTTTTAAAACTAACTAAATAAAGGGCTGGGGTTGTGGCTCAGCAGTAGAGCACTTGCCTAGCACATGAGAGGCCCTGGGTTTGATCCTCAGCACTACATAAAAATAAATAAATAAAATAAAGGTATTGCGTCCAACTATAACTAAAAAAATAAATATTTTTTTAAAAAACTAACTAAATAGAGACCTATATTATGTTCACTAGAAATACCTGGAGGATAACCAGATCTGTTCTTTTTAAATTACTCTATTAAAAACTGATACAATTTCAGTAATAATGCTACAGCACATTTTTATGGAACCTGACAAGCTCATTCTAAACTTTACACAGAAGAATAAAGAACTATAAATAGCCAAGAGAGTTTTGAAGAAAATAATATAATAAATTAATGTGATGCACAAGGATAAACAAACAGATCAATGGAACATTATAGAGAATTCAGACAGTCAAATGCTATACAGAAAGTTGATACTGGACAGTGACAATACAAATTGAGGGGAGAAAGACTATTCAACAAAAGAAATGGGGATAATAATAACAATATAAAGGAATTGCTATACACAAGGTAAATTAGATCCCTACTATACTATAAAATAAAATTGATGAAAAAATATAAAATAAAATTGATGGGAAAAAACCATATATGAAAAGCAAAACTATAGAACTTCTCAATAGAACTATAATACTACAGTTTCTTTGACTTTCTTTCTTGATACAATTTGTAGGCTCTAAATAATCCTTTTTGTTTTCCTTGAGGGTACTCTGTACTCAGAACTAAATTCTCCTTGTAATCTGGAAGAAGCAGGGATAGAGCAGAAGCTTCACTTTCCAATTCTGGTTATCAGACTGCAGGTGCCTAGAGATTCCTAAGTTCATACTAGCCTTATTTGTTCACTCCAAAAAAGGACTGATGAACACCGCACTAGCTATCTGTTAAACAGCTAAGTCACTTTCCTACCAGCTGTACTTCAACTAAGCCTCTCATATCCTGGGCTATTTAAATTAAGTTAAGCCTTTTGTCCTTGTCTGCAGTGACCTTTTCCATATTTCCTTATGCTATGTATTCATTATCCTTCCCACACTGTTTTTCACGAAATCAATAAGCATGCCTTCTACAGAAGCCTTGATCTGAAGAACTGATTAAAAATGTTGATCAAGGAGCTCTAACAGAGAACACTAGAGGCATAAGAGAAAGCTTCCTCCATTGATTCATTAGTACCAATCCACTTAATTACATTAGCAATTAGTCCGCATTTTCCTCTATCCTTCAAAAATACTATGAAATGTGGTCAACTTTCTGCTGAGTTTGGGCTTAGCTTTACTTAGTGCATTTCCATGATCTGTCAATCTACTAAACCTTTCAAAGAAGATAAATCTGGCATAATTTGGTTTTAGTGAATCCATGATAGCATCAAGGAACTTGTGTTTCTTCTCTTAAAAGCTCACAAACCAGTAATTAATGATTCTATAAGTATACTTAAGAAAACTTGGAACAAATTACAGAAGAGACCACATTATGGGGACTCTACACATTTATCACCTAATTATTATACTCTCCATGGAAGACATATAATTATGAAAAATGTTTCTCTACAATATGCAGGCCAGAAAATGTCTTTAAAATCTATCATTCACAGAAAACAATTAATAGCTCTAAAAAATGAAATACTTTGAGGTAGGGGGAAAGTTTGAGGAGAGCAATAAATATAAATTCATAAAAAGTACTTTGATGGAGGCTGGGGTGTGGCTCAGTGGTAGCGCACTGGTCTGGCATGCGTGAGGCCCTGGGTTCCATCCTCAGCACCACATAAAAATAAATAAATAAATAAAGGTATTGTGTCCATCTACAACTAAAAAAAAGTATTTTAAAAAAGTACTTTGATGGTTTAAATAAGAAAAGGAGGACTGGGATACACAAGCAAATTCTGTGCTTCTTCATAAAAAGATGTAAACAATGTTTTAAAAAATATAAATGAGTTCTAAAATTCAGCTCCCAAAATAACATGGGAAACTGCCCGACCATAAAGGATGTACCACACAGTACACCCCAAAAACTGAACTGTAGAGTAGAAAATATTCTGCCACCCTCAGAGAGCTAGCCTAGAAACATTTCCTCAATTGATCTTCCTGTTGAATTGACACCAGAGTACCTATGAGATTTACTTCCATTTAGTATTCTCAGTGCTCCAGAAACACGAATTGTTCACTCTGGGACTAGAAATCAGCTTTTTATAAAGATACTGTATAACACAGAAGTGAGCGTAAAGCCAAAATATTTTCACTGACCACAGAGAACCTTGAGCTAGAATAAATATTTTGTGACATACAAATGCCTTTCTAAGAGTTCTGTTAATAAGCAAGATATGAGAATTTAGCCTCAAAAGCCAATTTAGAAGCAAAGAAACATTTCCCCAAAAAAAAAAACCTACACTAGTGAAATGAGAATGCATTACTGGATAGTAGACAATACTATCTTGATTGTAGAGCACTTTTGTTTTCATCTGACAATGGGCAGAACCTTTATTTCCTACCTCTATTCTTGGAACTGTATTAGAAGGTACATAAGATGTACTATAGGCTGAAGGCAAAGCCTTTCTCAAACAATCCAGAAATCACACCACACATAGCATTCTTCATAGCAGTCTCTTCTCATAGGCCAGAGGGAAAAGGCAGTAGGATTTCTGTGGACCCAAGCTGCATTGGGAATGTTGAGCAGTCACAAGGAGTCCTCAGCAAAGGCACAGCTATCTCAGATGTTCAGGCCTAGAGAACAGCCTGGCTCAGCAGATCTTTAGGACCAGGTGTCTCGAGGCCTTCTTTGGGGTCAGGGACCACAATTCGAGCTAGTCATGGAGCCAGGCCAGGGGGTGCTCCTGGGGGATGATAGCCACACTCACTAAGGTCCAGGGTGTCCCAGCTGAGCAGTACCCTTACTGCAGGCACATTGGGATATACTGTAAGGGGGTCTAGGCCCATGTCAGGTGAAGTTGGGATCCAGCTGTCCTCAGAATGCAGGAAACACAGTTTGGTGAACTGGCACAGGCCTGGAACCCTCTGTTTGACAATCTCAGTACAGCTGACAGCCTTCCCTATAGCCCAGCCAGAACCTGAGAACACTACATGCCATGCACTGCCCCCCTCCAATCGACCCAGTGCCAGTCCCAGCAGGTTTCGGATTTTGCTGCCATCTTGGACCCATATCTCCAGGGTGTCAGGAGATAGCTGGGGCATTAGAGAAGGTACTGGGAGTTCTACAGAGTAAGCTTTCCAGTAGTGCTCCACCCAGCTTGCTGTGGCATCTGTAAATCTCACTGCCCTTGGATCTCACCTCTGCAGCCCCAGGGGGACTCACAGTGGATCCTTGCAGCACAGCCAAGATGGCATGTCTAAAGAACTTTTTTTTTTTGTCCAACAATGCTGGGGATCAAACTTGGAGCCTTTTGCATGCTGGACAAGTGCTCTACCACTGAGTTAAACCCCAAGCCCAAACACATTTAACTTGATTATAAATGAGAAATGGAAATACACAGCATCTAAAAGCTAAAAATTGTACCCAGCATGACCATGAAAGCCCCCAAGAGCTCTCTCAGTGTCAAATACACTAAGCATTCAATAATTTTTTAATCTTTTGTCCTCTGCAGCCACTTCCTACTTCCTTTCCACCAGGAACTAAGCAAAAAGACTGAATCATAGATGTTACAATTATCATTCAATACTTTTTTTGCGGGGGACCAGTATTGGGAATTGAACCCAAAAGTGCTCTACCACTAAGCTGTAGGATTATCCTCAGCCCTTTTTAGTTTTTGAGATAGGGTCTCACTAAGTTGCCTCAGCTGCTAAAATTATAGGCGTATGTCACTGAGACCATTCAATATCATTTTCTAAGAGTCATGGGTAGAATCTGAGAGTTACCTGGGCCCAGAGGAGGACTTTGTGGTTCAAGGACCCCAAAGGATCCTAGACTACAACTCCTCTTTTCAAGGGTACCAGGAGCTAAATGTTTCCCATGAACTAACTTAAAAACCTCACCCACCACTTAAAGCATTAGATCCATTTATCATAATCAACCAACATTTGTATACTTACATAACTCATAAACATGCCATTATTATTCTTAAGACTTTCCATTTATTTCTTCCAAATAAAATCCTTCTAGAAGCAATCCACAGAACATCCAAACCTTCTAAACTGGGAGAAGATTGAGGAAGCCCATGATGCTCCCTTTCAGTGGCAGGCTTAAGGAAAGCTGGTGGTTGAAACCTGGCCAGAGACCCACTATCACAGAGTTATTATTGAATTGTCCTGATAAAGTATTCTGGAGAGAGAAAACTCTTATTCTCCTCAGTTTGCTAAGATTTAAAATAAAAATTTCTCGGGGAGAGTCCCAGGGGGATCATATATAAATTGCAGTAGTCTTTTTCTCTGTTTTTGCTAACTACTGATTTCTGCTTGACAACCCTATCTATAAAGGCCTCCTGCAAGCATTTGTCCTGAGGTCCTAATGCTCCAGGCCATCAGGTAGCTGGCAGATAGCAAAGCAGCACAGAACTGAGTGCACCAGCTACCCACTCTAGGCCAAAACAAGAATGGGAAATAATCATCTGTTATAAAACCATCAACTTAGTGTGCCCATTACCTCCGTAAAATCCAACTTCTCTTTAAAAATCACTGTTTCAAGTAATGTTTTATTTTTCACTATTACAGAACAGTGTTTCATAAATGTGCTCACACCAATAAAACTGTCAGGGATTAATTTCTGGCGTCAATAAAGGAGTTTAGGGGGAAAAGAGTTTCAGTTCTTAGAATAAGGGTTGACAAGAAATAGTAAATGGAAACTTAAGTGAAACATATATTTCAAAACAGAAAATATGAGAGGAAATCCATTTCAGTGCAAAACTCCAACTCTACGGAACTCAACAGTAAAAGGTCGCTATTCAGAGTCTGGAATATGTTAGCATATACTCACAGTTACAATTCTGATTGCCCACTAGCAGTCCAATTACGTTTAATAAGCAGCAGGGACACATGGTTACCAAGGATAATTCTGCCAAACTGAATGAGAAAGTTCAAGATTTAAAACATGCAATTTAGTGAGCATATTTAGCCACTGATAAAATATAATGGGCCCCTTGTCTTTCATTTTAATCATCTTTATTAGAAGAAAAACACACCAAACTAAAGGAGTTTTCCATATGGAAGCAGCAACTTAAAATTGGAAGCTCTATGACTATGCAGAAAGTTAATACATTATGGCTTTGCATGGTGAGAATAGAATCAAAATTTCACTTTGAAGTAAACTTAAGTTGAAAGCATTATGTCTTTCAACAGGAATTTTAAAAAACAGGTGTTAAGCCAAGCATGGGGGTGCATGCCTGCAACCCCAGTGACTCAGGAGGCTGAGGGAGAAGGACCACAAGTTCAAAGCTAGCCTCAGCAGCTTTACCAAGTCCCTAAGCAACTTAGCAAGATCGTGTCTCAAAATAAAAAGGACTCGGGGTGTTGCTCAGTGGTTAATCATCTCTGGGTTCAATTCCTGGTACCAAAAAAATAATAATAATAAGTTCAGACCAGTAGCAGGCAAAGAGGCAGGCAGTCATTATTGTTGCACCTCCCCTCAACGCTGCAAACCCCTTCTCTTCTTCAGTGGAAAATGAAGCCAAAGTGACTTCCAATAGAATAGGATTAAGAGCCCAGAAATAAATAAATAAGGCCAAATGATTCCTGAAAGGGGTGCCAAGATCATTCAATGGAGATACAACAGTTTCTTCATCATGAGTCTCTTCATCACGATGCTAGGAAAACTGGATATCAACCTACAAAGGAATGAATATGAACCCTTACCAAATACCATATTAATGAATTGACTCAAAGTGAATCAAAGACATAAATGTAAAAACTAAATGATAAAATTTTTAGAAGAACCTGGCATGGTGGCACACACCTGTAATCCTAGCAGCTCTGAAGGCTTAGACAGGAGGATCGCAAATTCAAAGCCAGCCTCAACAGCCTAGCAAGATCCTAAGTAATTTAGGGATATCCTATCACTAAATAAATAAATAAATAAAAGAGCTAGAGATGTGGCTCAGTGTGGTTAAGCTCCCTTGAGTTCAATCCCCAGTATCCCCAAAAAATTGGAAAAAAAAAAGTTTTAGAAGAAAATATAAGCAAAAACTTCAGGACACAGAATTTAGCAATAATGTCTTGGACATGACACCAAAGGCTTAGGCAACAGAACAAAAAAATTGGCAATTTGTACTTCATGAATTCTTTTTTTTTTTTTTTTTTTTTAGTTGTAGATGAACACAATGTCTCCATATTTTATTTATTTATTTTTATCTGGTGCTAAGAATCAAACCCAGTGCCTCACATGTGCTAGGCAAGCACTTTGCCACTAAGCTTACAACCCCAGCCCGCTATATAACATTTTAAAACTTGTACATCAAAAGATGATAGCAACAGAGCAAAAGAGCAACCCTAAGGGTGGGAGGAGATATTTGTAAATCAAATTTCTAAGATGGATTAATATTCAGGATATACAGAGAACTAAAACTCATCAAAAAAGCAAACAACAAAAAAGACTTAAATCAAAATTTCTCTAAAGATAAACAAATTGTCAATAAGCACATGAAAAAACGTTCAACATCACTAATCATTAAGGAAATGCAAATAAAAAATACAATGAGACATTATTTCACACCCATTAAAATGGCTACTACCAAGAAAAGAGAAAATAATTGTTGGTGAGGATGTGGGGAAACTGGAGCCCTTGTACACTGTTGGTGGGAATGTCAATGATACACAGATGGTACAGCCACTATGGAAAACAATTTGGCAGTTCTTCAAAAACTTAAAAATAAAATGCTATATGATGCCTCCAAGGATCTCAAAGAAATATTTGCACATTCACGTTCATAGCACCATTTATTCACAGTAATTAAAACAAGGAAGCAACCCAATTTCTTTTAAGGGACGAATGAATAGGCAAAATGAGGTATACACTACAATGGGAGATTGTTCAGCTGTGAAAAGGAAGAAAATTCTGACATATGCTATAACATAGATGAACCTTGCTCAGTGTCTTCTATATCTGGTCAGTCACAAAAAGGTAAATATTGCATGATCCCACTTACCATTCAGAGTTGTCAAAATCAGAGACAAGAGAGTAGAATGGTGGTTACCAGGGGCCAGAAAAACAGGGAAATGAGGAGTTATTGTTCAGAGAGCATATGGTTTCAGTTTTATAAAATGAAAAGATATGGAGATGAATGGTGTTAATGGTTACACAGCATTGAATGTATTTAACATGACAATTGTAAACTTAAAATGGTGAAGAGCATAAATTCTGTAATATGTACTTTTAAAAAATATTATTAAAAACTGGAAAGTGTAAAAAATACAATAAAATAATGGCGATTGGGGAAAACAAGTTGCTAGTTTTCCCCAATCACCATGTTAATTTCCTTATCTACTTACATGTTTGGTTACTTGGAAAAACCAAAGCTTTTTCTTTGGGATTTATATGTTTTTAATACTACTCAATGATATAAAACCATTATTTAGACTTATAGTCAGTATACACTTATAAGATGCTTCTAGTAAAAACTGCTTGATATATATTGCTAATTAAGTTTTAGTAAACTGGTTTTGCTGCAAAATAGGCAGCAAAAAAAAAACACACACACACACACTTTATGGATAAAGCCTTTATTGAAACCACTTTATAATGTCTTCTATATCTGGTCAGTCACAAAGGACCTCATACTATAAGATTTTATTTATCTGAAATATCCAGAATTGACAAATCTATACACATAAAATTAGATTGGGAGGTGGTAATGAGAGAAAAGAATTAGGTAATAATGGCTAAAGGATACAAGGTCTCATTTTGATATAATGAAAATGTTCTAACTTGATTGTGGTGATGGATGCACAAATCTGTGACTATACAACAGCCATTCCAATCAAATTGTACCCTTTAATGGGTGAATTGTATGGTCTATGAATTATTTTTCAAAACAGTTAATTCAGAAAGGAAAATTGGTACTTATACAAGTACTTCACTAAAAAAAATTAATACCAAAAATAAGATAACATCATACATCCACCAAAATGGCTATAATTGAAAAGCTAGATAATAACATGTTGGTGAGGGTGTAGTATAGCATATATATACACTGTTGATAAGAATAACTTGTACAGCTGCTTTGGAAAGCAATTTAGAAGTATCTATT